TACATATATTATACATTTTATATATTAAAAAACCCATTAAAAATTTAGAAACACTCTACATACATTTTAACATAGAGCATGCTCGAACTTGTGCTTTCTCCGGAATGGGCAAGGTTACAAACCAGTTGATCCACCGCACCTCTTCTGTCAGGGTACTACACAACAATATATTTATTCATTTATAATGACCTGGCGGTTTGAACGGTTAAACCGGTTAAACCGGCTAAACCGGGAACCGGAGGTCAAAACAGTTTGACCTCCGGGTCGGTTTTTAAAACTTTGGCTAACTCAACATCCTAAATCTAAAATTTTTTACAACTTCAGTTAATTTTGAGTTGTTTAGTTATCACACCTTTTACTTTTATAGAGTTATTAAATATTTTATTCTAATTTTATCCCTATTAAATGTCTCTAATGAGTTTTTATTATAAAAAGAAAGGATAAAAAGAAAGCTTAAAAGTGCTCATAATTGTATTTTTTAAATTTTTAGTAAAACATTTTTTAATTGTGCTATATAAAAGTGTGACAACTCAAAATTATGTAAAATAAAGAATGAAGTGGCTATCATGCAAAATTTAAAACAGCCTGCTGTGGAAAAGGAATGTGTACATATGGTTTTTAACTCACAAAGCGTACTTTTTTACTCTTAAGAGATTTAGACTTAGATCTTGTTCTAGCTTTAATCCCCTGGAAAAGGAAATCCACTATGGGCAATTTCGAGGAGTTCAGGAATAAATTCAGAATGGATTATAGTCCGCACAAAGTATATCGTGCTCCTCCCTCAACCTTAAAACTCCCACACGCACAGTAAAACGACATCAAGTTGGAGACTTTTCCACTTTTTCAAGCTGATAATGACACCAAAAGCCAAGCAGGTACAAGAGAATAAGGCAAAACCATATCATAAGTCCTCAAACTAATCTCATTTGTGCAGAAGTATCCACAATTACTTTTTAGGTGAATAAACCCTCAGCAGGTCGGGTTGCACAACTTGGCCTGGATTTTTAACAATGAGACGTTAAACGGAGCCACTCATTTTTGTTCTCAAGGTACAATTTTTTCTATGTCATCAATGACATTGCCATGCTCCCTTTCAAAAAGGTGTGAAAACTCTTAGGTAAACTAATAATAAATTTACAATATATTTAAATTGAAGAGAATAAAAAAAAATTAATAAAAGAAAAAATTCCTCTATTTAATTATCAAAAAAATTTAAGGAGAGGAGAAGGGAGGGGACTGAAAAGATACAATATTCTTCCATTCCACTCTCCTTTATTTTCCCCAATTCAAACAAATGGATAAGGGATGTTAAACTTTTGAAAAATTAGTAATTAGGTCCTCAACATTTTAATTATAGTATTTTGATCTTTTAGCTTTTTTCTCACCATTCATAAAAATCCTTTTTTTTTCTTTTTCTTTTGATGCTGGACAAATTTCAATAATAAAATATCAAAAATACAAAATTATAATAGTAAGGGAAACGAAGCGTGATATGACCATCACCAATCTCACATACCTTTGATTTTTATAATTGGTCTAATAACATAATAAATAGTACCAAAAAACCCCAAAAAACTTGCCACTACTACAAGCTTTCATTCTAGTAAATCTAAATAAAATTATTAATTACTCTACATCTGAAATGGAATATGGAACAATTAAAATTCTAACATAAAAGGAATTAATATTAAGAATAATAGAACTCCTTATTTTTCCTCCCTTGACTTCCTTTTGTGCCTCACTGACATTGAATAGAATCCCATTACAATTTCCATCCATGAATCACAAAATTAGTAAATTACTACTTGACAAATCTTGGATTTTTATCAAAAATTCTACAATGCTCATTCGTGGAACTTGCCACCTCCTTCCCATAGACTTCAGGCCAACCTAAGCAACACCAGCCCAATACCAATGAACAGCCTCCATTAGCAACCACACCCACCGTCCATAATAACCATAGTTGCTCATTCTCTATTCTAAGCCATTGCCCTGCTTGCCTTACCATCCTTGGTATCTTCATTGGTCACTCTTCCTCCATGAAAGAATCCAACAAAGAAAAGATGTGCCTTGGGCCACCATTCCATTGCCGTGAACCACCAGCAAACTAGCCACTCTTGTGAGGTCCAGAGTCGACTCTATAAGAACAAGAGTTGACTCCCAAATTCCAAAGACTGGTGAAGCATTTTGGTGCAGAACAGAGTCGACTCTCCACAAAAGAATCGACTCTTGATGCTCCATATTAGACTTTTAATGCTAAAATTCGACTATTAAGGTTGCAGGGAAATAAATAGATTAGTTCTCCTATGTACAGTTGACTCTTCGTTTGTATAGTCAACTATTTATTCTTGTAAGAGTCGACTCTCAAAAGGGAGAGTCGACTCGTGCGTGCAAAATTTGAATAAAATTACGACAGTTTCAACTTTTCCCCATTTTCCTCTCTCTTCTATTCAACTCTCTAAGGACCCTAACCCTAAAACCAACTAAAATCCTCCAAACTTTCACCAAAATAACTTACCCAAACACAAACTCACAGCATTTTCGGCCCATTCCTCTTAGATTTGTGCATTATTTTCCAAAATGGTGAGGACTAAAAGAGTGGCAAAGAAACCAAGGCAGACCGCGCCAAGCTTATCTGCAAGGCGTTGTAAGGCTCACGAAAGTCCTAAGGAGAGCAATGAAAGCATTGACACTGAGCAAGTATTTCAACCTGATAACTTTTGAAACTTGGTACATCGAAATGCTATAGAAGCATATAAGAAATTAGCAAATAGGAAAGTTATTTATGGGTTTAGAGTTGTTTTGGAATATTTATATAAAGGGGGGCTGCATTTAAGAGAAATGTTAGATAAATGTTAGATGGAATGGGGTGGATTGAATTAGTAACTAGAACGGTGAGGGTTTACCCGCAATTAATCAAGATTTTTTATGGAAATATGAGTGAGTTGGAGGATGGAGTGTATAGAACAACTGTTCTTAAGAAAAATATTGAATTTGATGCTGAAACCATAAATTATGTTTTTTACATTTGCCATATGAAGAGCTTAAAAATTAAATGGTTTTATAGAGGAATCAGCAAAGAAATTTATCATGGGGGATGAGTGGAATGAGGGACAAATATTAATCATTCACCACTTGAATTTGGAGAATCGATTAATATTTTGGATTTACAATCACATAATTTTGCTAAAGCAAGGTTCTTTTGGGAAATTTAATGGTTCGAATTGTGTGTGGTTTTGCATATATTCTTGATCAGAGGTAGATTAATTTAGGACACCATATGATGAGACATATGGTGTATCATAGGAGTAGATCAACACTCGCACTAATGTATGACACTGTCATCACATTACTTATGGAAAATGCGGATGTTTATTTGTGTGGTATGGAGTCCCGAGACCTATACAGTCATGAGCTTCTGAACGACAATTCACTGAACAAAATGGGCTACGTATTCAATGCAAGAACAAATTCTTGGGAAAGGAAGTAGAAAATGAGAAGAAGAGGACAAGATGGTGAAGGTGAGGGGTTTGATGATGAAGAACATGTCGAAGAAACTGGAGAAGAAGGTCCTTCACAAGCTGCCTCATCTCGAGTTCCTTAGAGATTAAGCACAAACAAAGGAATTCAGCTCATTTTCGAGAGACTTGCAAAGATTGAGTCAAAGCTCAATGATCACATTCATGATTATCAGATGACAGCACCTTTAGGTCCTCGAAGGACAAGGGGAGATATGTTTACTACTGCCACATACTCCGAACAGTAACCCACTGATCCCTCTTCACATTTGGAAGCATAAATCCTCCTATTGCAATTGTTGATGCCCTTTAAAGTCCCATTGTAGTATTTGAACACTCTTTGAAAAATGTCTTAATGTTCTTACTATTTATATTTTTGTATGTGTACATATAATGTTGACATTAGATGTAGTTAAATTTAATATTGGTTTTAACACAAATGGGTATATTGTAATTGTGATGATTTTATATTGGTTGATTATGTTCTTGATGTGCTTCCATTGATGACGAGCAATTTGTTAGTTTATAGTCTGCGTGAATGGCATTTTGTGGTTGTGGTTTTAAAAGTTAATGTGCATGTGGTTTTAATGGTTCACAGTATTTTTTGTGAGTGTAAAGGTTTAAAGCTGGGTCACTCTATTTTTTAGTTCAATTTTAGTAATAGTTTTACAATTTGTGATTGTATAAAAAAGGATTTTGAAGTTTGTTTAAACAGTGTGACTTAATAGTGAAGTAGTTCTCATACTCCTCCTATAATAGATTATATAGTTGATGTTGTTAGGAAAAAAAAAAAAAAAAAGGAAAGATAACAGCAAAATTTGGAAAACCACAGAAATGGGGTGAAAAGTCGAATATGGCATTCTATATTCGACTCTTTAGGCATATGAGAGTTGACTTTGAGCATCAAGAGTTGACTCCCAAATTCTAGTAAGCAGGAAACTCATTTGCTACAACTCATAGTCGACTCTCTATGTGTAGAGTCGACTCTTGTTGCTTTAGAATGGAATCTATGATGTGAAGAGTTGACTACCAAATTCCAATAAGCAGCAATTTTTTTTTTTTTTTTGGTGTAGCACATAGTCAACTCTCCATGGTAAGAGTCAACTCTTAATCCTTTAAAGTCGACTCTAGTATGTAAGACTGGACTCTTAAACTATAGGAGTTCTCAAAGTAAAAGAATTTCAAGCTAACTCTCAACAATCAACCTAAGAAAAACTTGGAAATGATTAATAAATGTTGTAATGTAAAAATATATTGGATAATCATAAAAAAAAAGGAAAATTAGAAAATATATTAAAGAACATAAGTAAGACAACGATATTACGATTCTTGAATAGATTGTAATTTTTGAAGGGCAGCATCTTAATACTTTTTTTGAAATGTAAAATGCCTACAACCATTACCAAAAATCTTTGTCATTGTTTTTGAGGACTCATCAAGGGTTTTTGATGGATTTGACACAAATGGTGATTCATAACGATTCAAGCAAATTTTTGCAATATGACCTCATGATTACATAGTTGACAAGTTACAACAAATTAGTATGGGCAAACTGCAGCTAAATGTCCAGGAGTATTACATATTTGACAAACAAAGTAATCTACAAGATTAGGTAATGGAATGTGGTGATCAATTGATACATTATTCTTTGCTTTTTTCAACTTCCTCTTGGGAGGACTTTGAGATGGGCAATTCCAAAATGATTCAAGAGTATCCAATGATTCCTGTGTAAAATCACATAAAATTAAGTAATATGATAGTAAATGGTGTGCACAAATGTGAAATGAGAAATAAGGGAAGGAAAAGAAAAATAAAACAAGTTATACTATCATATTGGTTGTCAAAATATTGTTGTACCTATGATTTTGATGATTACAAAACACATTTGAATGACTAATTGGTTTATTTAAGTGTGTAGTTAAGTTGCTAAAAGATTGCAAGTAAACTTGGATTGCACTAAAAATAAACCAAAAGGATTCAAAGTGTGCAGAGAGCCGGCTCTTGAAAGCTGTAGCCAGCTCTGGTGAAATGGAAGTGCAGAGAGCCAGCTCTAGAAGCTGAAGCCGGCTCTACAAGCAAAAATTTGAAGAACGTTGCTTGGCGCGCGCGGAGAAAAGACGCAAAGCCGGCTCTGGCTTTGCAGCCGGCTGTGAGGGTGCATTTAATGCACAACGGTCGAGTCTTTTGAAGAATATTTAATGTATTTAAAGTCGGAGTTCCATAGCCGGCTCAAAGTCTTGCAGCCGGCTCTCAAGGAAAACAGAATGTCCTGCAATCCCGGATAGCCAGCTCTGAAAGTGTAAGCCGGCTCTAGAAAGCTAAGCTGGCTCTCTTGACAAACCTGCAGCTCGAGCTTTGTGTCCTGCAGAGCATTTAATGATCCCCAACGGCTAGAAACGGCTATTTTCGAGCAAGAGGCTATAAATATGATTGGTAACAGATTTGAAAAAATTTGGAGAACATTATATTGAATATCTTTACCCACCAACTTGTGCTTTAACTAGAGATTTTGATCTTTGAGAGATCTTTGTTTGTAATCATCTTCTTGTGCTATTAGTGAGTGATCTTGGGGGTGTGTTGATTCCTTCAAGAGTGATCTGTAGAGAGGATCTTTGGGGTTTATCTTGTAAAGGGGTGAGATTTGAGAGAAACACCCTTGTTCTTTGTAAAAGGATTGAGTGGCTCCTTTAAGCCACCCTTGTTATTGTTAGTGGAGAGTGTGGAGGAAATCTTTGGTGAGTGAAGCCAAGGTAGAGGACTAGGCTCCAAGTGGTTGGACCGAACCTCTATAAATCATTGAGCAAGCTCTTCTTCTCTACTCTCTTTAATTTGGGTGTTGTGGTTGCAAAAAGGGAAGAATTTTTAGAACTCCAATTCACCCCCCTTCTTGGAGTACATTGAGTCAACAAATATTCTTGACTGTCCATTAATCAAAAGAAAAAAGAGTTTTGAAATTTAAAAAAGTAATTACTTGTAAATTAGAACGTAAAAATAATTATGTGGAGATGAACAAAGTGAATTGAATTGATAGAGTAAGGGAGAAATAGCAAGAAATTAAAAAGTGTGGAAGGTGTGAATATATTAGCATGAGAAAGATGTATATATAATGGGTGAAGAAGCTGATAGTCAAAGTTAGTTTTCAGCAACATATTCTTTGTTGGTGATAGTATGGCTACAATTATCACCAACATATGATCCATGTTGCTGATTAGTGAAGTATAGCTGTCGATCAATGAATGATGCTTTAGCTCACTGGAAAATTTCAGCAACAAGAGACATGTTGCTGAAAGTTGAACTCAATTTTTTAGGAATTTAGTACTATATAGGTATCAACAGCATGGTCCTTGTTGTTGAAAGTGCTAAAATTTACTTTCAGCAACATGTCACTTGTTGCTGAAAGTTCAACTCATTTTTTGGGGGATTAGGTGTTATAAAAGTATTAGCAACATGGTGCTTGTTGCAATTTCAACAACAAGGAGCATGTTGCTGAAAGTTGGGCTCACTTTTGCAGGGATTTGGTATTGTATAGGTATCAGTAACATGAGTCTTGTAGGTGATATAGGATTTCACCGACAAGCAATTCCATGTTGTTGATAGTTTGTTGCTAAAAACCAAAATTTTGGTAGTGGGAGCCAACATTTAATACAAAGGGGGCTAAATTTGTGAACATTCCATCAAATTTACACATAAAATATTTACTCATTATTTTAAAGTTGAAAATGCAAGAATGATCATAAACTTAGTTATAGTTAAATGTAAAATATACTGCTCTTCTAAGATTTTTAGTTATTAGTGTTTGTCTAATTGTATTTGTGAAAAAAAAAAAGAGAGTAAAATTAAAACCAAACCAAAAAAAAAAAATGTAATAACCTTAAAAATATATAAAAAATTGATATAGTAAATGACAAAAATAAAATAAACATGTTTGACTTAATAAAAAAATTTTAAAGTTAGAATAAAGTTTTAATATTTGGTATCATAAAAGAATAAGTTATTGTGAATTCAATTAAATATTTTACTCTAATTCTATGCTCTACAAAAGTTTCGACAGTCTAGTATTTTTTCAAAAGATCAAAGCAAGAAGTCTGGGGATACACTTTCTTCTGCTACACTATGTATGTTCTATGTATCATGTTTTGCGTTTTTATAAGGAATATTTAATTAAATTAATTTCTTTCATTGATTGTTGAATTTTTCTATAAATTTTATGATTGAAAAATTAAAAAGTCAAAATAATTCTATTTAAAATGAATGAAAGGAGTATAAAATACTTTTAAAAAATTAAATTTAAGGGATGAAAATAGAGTTAAATAGGAAGAAAATATTTATTTACTTTAAAATTTTTTCAAAAAAATAATTAATTTAAAATAAATTTTAATATAAAAATAACAGATGAAGTACTTATCAAATTTATATGTATGTTATTTTTGTCTCACATTTTATATTATATATTTTTATGTAAAAGAAAATCTCTTTTTGCCAGCTCCGCTTAAAATCTTAGTCAAGCTCCGCTCGTGCTTCTTTACAATTTATGAGCTAGTGGCTGTTAAGTTGACTCATTTTCAAGTACATCAACTTATTAAACAATGCATCCTTCCATATTAAATTTTAGTTTCTATTACTACTAACTTCAAAGATAACTTTCTTTTATTATTTTAAATTCATCTTAAATTAATTATTATATTTTA